GCCTACAAGAGCTGTCTGATATCTGATGCGACAGTAAGAGCTGAGTTGGTGACGGCCCCAGCATGCACCCAAGTGATACTGAAGACAGGGAATGCTCTCTCTCTCTCTCTCTCTCTCTCTCAGCCTACAAAAGCTGCCTGATATCTGATGCGGGAGTACAGGAGATGAGTTGGTGACGGCACCTGCATGTCACCCGAGCGACACTGAAGACAGGGAATGGGTGATGATACAGCTCCGACTGGGGCGGGGGAAACATTCCCCCTGCGCAAGACATCTATATGACGACACAATCAACAGTGGCAAGCATCTATACTCCGAGTTGCTGGAGTTTCTCGCTTATAGATTGGTCAGTAACAGCAGCTCATTAGCGGTCAGTATGGAATGTCCTGAGAGCGGCAAGAGGGCAATATGACAATTTTGAATTTTCCCAATTCAGGCTAACTGCAACTTTCCAAGTGCTGGTTCACATTCCAGAACTACTAGAATTTAAAACTGAAAAAGAAAAAAATAAAGAAGGAACTAATAAGATCGCTGGAGATCGATATCGGCGCAGGATCACATCTGGACTTTTTTTTTTTTTTTTTTTTTTTTTTTGAAGTGCGTCTTTTGTGAACCATCATCCTGGATGACATTTAAGCACAACACCTTGGAAAACAGTCTCACAATGATTCTTTGCTACCAGGTGTCTGGGATCCGGACTGTCCAGGAGTCCAAACAATTTTTATTTTTATTTTTTTTTAACAGGCCTTTATGGGTCCCGGGCCTGGCTCCGAATCCATTCTGGGGAGCATCAGTCCGGTTACTTTCCCCCCACCGAGTCATAAAGATTCCGAACGACTCTAAAACCCGAAAACAAGAAACTTGTACAAAATCTTTTTCCAACTTATCCGGGAAAGTTTTGCAGATTTTTCATATGTTGACATGCGCATGCGAAATGGAACACAAATCCGAAATTGCATCTGACAAAAATGCATACCCCAGGATTTTTTTCCTTTTTTTTGGGGGGGGGGG